AGGTGTGAGAAGATTTTAATATGTGTTTTGCTGTATATTTTTGGTAAAACACAGACAATGCAGTGATCGGAGTTAAGTATCGGTGAACGTCTACGTGTTTCATATACTCCTTCGTCATTAGTAAAAACTAGATCGAGTGTTTTGTCAAGTCGAGTGGGAAATTTGACTATGTTTGTGTGACCAAGAGCTTCAAGAAAGGAGCAATCTGAGGAGTTGAAGTCCCCAGTAATAACGGATAGAGAGTTGTCGAAGTTGGCAGCAGCAAACATGGTGAATTCATCAGCAAAATTAGATAGATCAGATGGAGAGCAACTAGGAGAAATGTACATGTTTGTAATATAGATTGTTTATATTTGGGGAGATGTTTGGGGCGACATTTGACAGTAATACAGTCAATGAAGTCATTTGAGAAGGTGAAGCAGACGTTATTAGAGACAGACCATTTGGAGTGAATAAAAGTTGCAACGCCACCACCATTTTTCTTATTACAACATTGACGGTCTTGACGAAATAAAATAAAGTCCTTTAGTGAGATAAGATTATCATCATACAGTTCATGCAACCACGTTTCTTGTAATGTGGTTATGGCTGTATTATGATAAGTATCAGTGGACATCAGAGATTGTAGGTACATTATCTTGTTTGGCAGAGAGCGACAGTTTGTGTTCATTATGACGGGGACCGTAGTTAAGTGTATTGGTGTACGTTTGAGAGCTCTCTGCCAACCACTACGATGTTTCCTCCTTCATTTCTTTGGAATATGAAAGTCATTTGTTCGTAGATGATTGATAAAGTTACGAGAGTAAATGATTCTGTTAGAATTCATATTTAGGTGATAAATAAATGTTGGTAAACAGTAGACTGGATGCAAAATGTAGATATTATAGTAGCTGGCCCAAAAATTCGAACAGGCCGCCAAGGTCAAGCGAAAAATTACTACAGCCCAGCGACAATTTACTACAAAGGAACTTATATAATAAGTCGTGAAGCTGCAAACTTTTCCTTAACATAAGAAGCTCCAAGCGTTGGAAGTGTCATGTTCAAATAAAAATAAGTTTCGGAAAAGAACGAAGGACGTAATGATGTAATAAAACTTTTAATATACTTCGTTGTAAACTGAAACTGTCAGAGGATTATGTGTGTTTATCTTTTTGACCAAAGTATGCTGTCAGTGCTTATTATCAGTCTACAGGGTATACACAGAAATGGCAAAATGTTGAAATATGTCCACCCTTAGTTGCTTTCATGAACAGTTTTTTTGGGTATAAAACAAATTACATTTGTAGAAAATTAAGTTATCTTAAGTTTGTACCAGTTCCAAACAACAATTTCTTCATCTTTCAAGTCAAGTTGTAGACGGGCGAACTGTTTCTCTACTATTTTCCTCTGGGCTGTTTTTATGGTAGCATTTCCGCAGTGTACCAGTGAACGTTTATGAATAGCTATTTTCATAGGTATATTTCTCAACAACACATAATCCTTCACATAACTTCCAGTGGAATATTCATAAATAAAGATACCACATCAAATAGAACAGTGTTCAGTTTAGGAAACTATTTAAGTCGTAAGCAGTTGAGTAGCGTTTGCTAACTAATAAAAACAGTAGTTCATGTTATCGTGTTAATATATTAAAATATAGAGCTATAAACGAGCACTAGTCAAGACTTTGCACTATATTCATTTATTTAAACGAATAAAGACTTGGTACAATATGGCACCAAGAAGGATGCGCCACACAATAATAATAAAACAACATAGATAAAAAGAAAAAAAGAAAGAAGAGAAAAAATATATACATATATAAGTAGAGAACGGATAAAGAACTTCATCTAGAAGGAAAACAGTCATGCTTAACAAATTCAAACAGTATTCGTTAACTATCATCGGGAAGGCGTCGGTAGCACAGCGGTTAAGACGCTCGCCGACTATGCACATGGTCCGGGGTTCAAGCCCCGGCCGGCGCACACCTTTACCTCGCTAAGCCAGTAGTGAGACTGGTAAGGAGGAAAGGTTGGGTATGAGGCTAGCAACCCCATCCTGTAAAAAACCAACACTGCTACGGAATCTTAAAGCCTATAGTTTGGAGCCCTATGTTCCACTTGGAACGTGAAGGAAAAAAAACAAAAAAATCATCAGGAAGGGAAGAAAGAAGGAAATTGCAACACGTATAATAGCACGCGATAAGATTCATTGATTGTTTGTTGCTTTATTCAATTCGTTGTGTGTGGGCTGAGATACTCCCGGGCGCTCAGATCGAAGCAGGTGGTTTTATTAAGGGACCATCCCCCGAGCCTTTGACTTTGAGTCTAATCCGGAAGGCAGCGGGGCAGCGTCAGTAGCTGCATTCCCATGGTTTCCGGTGACCCATATGGGTTCCTACGCCATTAAATCCGACTGGATACTGAAGCCCATGTACCCCATGGTAACTGCTTTTAGCTTAACGGCTATCCAAACAACCTTCCTGACATGATAGGATATGCAGGGACAGAGTCCCAGTCAGTTTAGCATGTTGGGTCATTACGGTATTCAATCCCGATCACCACGACAAGGTAGCAGTTATCGGCCTGGACTTTGTACTATAAAGCGAGGAGAATGTGCTCTGCAGAGAAACTAGAGGAAGAATTTACGATTCTCGAAAATGTGTTAAGAAAAACCGGTTACCCTCAAAGATTCATTGACAAATATGGAAGATGTGAAGGTTCAAACATCAAACAAATCACAGTTGAAAAAGCCTGTCTTCATTCAACGTGATTTTAAAGGTGAAACATTGCGGCACTAGTCAACAGAAGACTGAATAAGTCACTAACCAGAGCCTATCTGCAGCTAAGTTGGTTACCCTCCGTCGAATAACGTGCTCTTTGGTGCAGTCAAAAGTCGACAGATACCCTTCTCATATCAACTTCGACTGTGTGTACAAATTTACACGTATCTGCGGGAGTAGTTACATTGGGAGGACAGAAAGAAGGGCACACCTCCGATTTTCTGAACATGTGCCGATAAGCCTACGTCTCAAGGGAAAAGCTCTTATAATAGCGCTGTTATCAGGCATCTCCTAGATACAGGTCATGAGGTGAAATGGCGAAATCCTTTAAAATTATCAACAGACAAAGGAGCTCGATTCTCCTCAAGTTTTCCGAAGCAGTTTGTATCGATCAGTTGAAACCAGATTTATGTGTTCAGAAAGAAGCAGTTATTAGTCTTTCCTTGCTGTGGCAACTGGATGTTTTTATTCTTTCTTTTACTTGGTTGCGTAATCCTCAGCTTTAACCTCACTCCTTTGACAAAGTGTAATTTTGTTTGTCCCTTGTTTCTATGATTTCAGTTGAATTCAGTACATTGTTACCTAATTTATTAGTCACTTAGCATCTTAAGCATCTCTTGCCTTTATTACGTAACTCCTTTACCATTGCATGCATACATTTATTCTGTTTAAACCTGAACTCTATGTGTAAAAACTGTATAAGCGCAATTTTCTGAGCACTGTTCACTAATTGTGGAACTTTCTGTCAACTGACATCATGTAGAAGTCGCAAGTATGTTAAGAATTTGCTGTACATAGACTCAACAACAATCTCATTTAGGCTGTAAGCAGCTGAGAAGCCAACGAAATAAATGATGTCACCATATTATTGCGCACACACTATTGTCGTTCTTGCTTTATTCAAATATAGAGAATTTTTGGATTTGGAGTTTAGTAGAAATCTAAATTAATTTTCTAATAGTTTGGTTTGTAAGGGTTTGTTATGTTTTTACGAGTTGATCACGGATTGATATCAGTTAGAGAACCGTTGAAAACCAGGGAGTACTGGACAGCTGCTGTTTCATCCTAGTTTGGGAATCATCGGCAGTACGCACCCACTGGGATTCGAACCCAGGACCTTCCGGTTACAAGGCAAGCTCGTATACCATTCAGCCACTGGGACCCGATTCAATGGCTCATGAATTCTAACTTCCACCAATTCGTGATTTAGCGTACTGCCGATGATTCCCAAACTAGGATGAAACAGCAGCTGTCCAGTACTCCCTGGTTTTCAATGGTTCTCTAACTGATATCAATCCGTGATCAGCTCGTAAAAATCTAAATTAAGCAATACACTTTAAGTTTCATACAAAACCTTTAATAGATAAATTATAGTCAGGAATTTTCATTTCTAGATCACAAAGTGATGTCTCTTGTTCGCATAAATGTAGCCCCTCATAGATGACCTGGTACGGTCGACGGTGGGTTGACTTCTTCTCTGTTCTCGAAATGTTCTTACCTGAACATGACTTAATGGCCTCTGCCAACTAATTCTTTTTCACTGTCTTCACGGGACAAGTTTTTTCCTCACAAAAGTAAAAGGGCGAATTCGAAAGTGTGGCGCCCAAAACCATACCTGTGGATATACAGGTCTACCTAATGGAGCTATAAAATCCTGATTCCTAACCTATGGTGTATATGGATTCCAGAATCCGAAAGGATTAAATGGTATATTAACGCACTTTATTCACTGGTAACCATGGGAACGTAATTCCGAATGGTGCTCCCTTCCTTTACGGATCAGACATTGAGTCAAAAGGCTTGGGGGTGGCCCTCACCACAACCATCTATTTTGGTCTGGGTGTCCCAGTAGTATCCCAGCCCTCGAGTAAACTATGAGATCTTGTCAGGCACATCTCTTGGTGCCAATAATGTACAAACTCTGTATTTTTAATAAACAAATAAACATAAGAGTAGGAATGATAATGATAATATAAACTGTAATTAAAAGGAATGTTTATTAAGTAACAAAAAATATAAACAATCCATCCATATCCAATCATCAGCATTATTATTATTATTATTATTATCATTTCGAATGACTTTTATATGAACCAATCACTTGTAGACCAGTTAATTTAATTTCACACTGAACTCATTACTAACAATAATTAATAAATACTTTTTTTATTGGTTCACTGATGAAAAGAGAAACAGAATAAATAAATAGACTGTCTGCATCGTTCACATGTGCAACATACTGAAATGTGAATAGAATGCGATAATTCTTTATTGAACAATGTCTAATAGTACATTTATTGATTTTGGACAACCAATGACAGGAATCTTAGCAATTTACTCAATATCTGTCATAATATTTGGATCATTAGGGAATATTTTAATCTTATTAACAATATCACATAAAAATTATCTGTTACAGCATGAAAATGGTCGATCTGTTGACAGTTCTTTTACTAGTAGTATTGACATAATTAAAGGAATAATTTGTATCAAATCTTGTAAAAGATCTGAATTATTACTGATTCTGCTTACCTACGCTGATTTTATATGCCTATGGATAATAGTACTACGTTATGCTATTCATTTATCTGCAGATCAAGATATACGAGCAATCACTTTGACAGGATGTCTCCTGCATACCTATTTATCAATGGTTGGTAGTAATTTAAGTGTTGGTCTGTTAGGCATCTTTTCTGTTCAACGTGCTATCGCTATAATCTGGCCAATGATTTCAAAGAAATTGTTAACACGAAAATGTTTATATATATGTATGCTAATAACTTTATTGATTATCCTGACTAAACATCTACCTGTGTTTATTTTATTGAATATAAGACAACTAACACCAGATTTATATGTATGCGATATCAACTACAATGACGACGATAATAAGACTAAATTTAAATACTACTATTATATAGAATTTAGTACGCATATAGTACTTGGTTATGTGATTCTAATTATCTCAAATATCAGTCTGTTTATTTGTTTAAATATTCAAAAACGAAACAAAATATCCAATGTTTCAATAGGAAATGATTCAACAACACAAAAGTCGAATAGAATTCGTTATATGAATTCTGCACGTTTAGTATTGGCATTAAGTTTCTATCAAGTGATAAGTTCTATACCATTTTTTGTATTAGTTGAATTACCCAGTGTATCTGGTCGTCAAATAATACCAAGTAATAAAAGATGGTTAGCTTATTATATAACAACATTATTATTGTTTACAAATAATTCATATAATTTTTTTATAACTGTATATGTTAGTCAACATTTTCGTAAATCAACAAAACTTATGCTTTTACATGCATGGAATAGTTTAAAGTGTAAAAAGTAAATACACAGTCTATTGTGATTATAATTTGAAGCTGTTTAATTGACTCCAGTTGTAAGCCTGTGGTTTGATGGTGTTACGAGGAGGCGGTTAAAACTAGAATCAACATTATCAGTAGTCATTGGCTGATGAGAGGGGTTTTTGATTTATATTGTTGCGTGGATGTGATAATGTTATTGGATAATTATTCCGTTATGGAGAAAATTTATTTTGATGAAGTCACACAGTGATATATACAGTAATATTTATTGATGACAACGTTTTGAGCACAATTTATTGCCACTCATAATCATATCAGGTTATTGAATAATGTTTTACTTGAACCTTATGCAATCAGATGTCCAACCTTATATCATCAATCACATTTTGTTTAATCACTTACCTAGCGTGATTTTATGTGTTGGAAGTGTATATATATATATATATATATATATATATATATATATATATATATATATATATATATATATATATGATGTATTTTTGTTTGATAAAGTTGCCTACGCCGAATAGTCTTTGTCTTTTGATATTTTTCATGATTCAGTGAAGTGGAAGGTATTTCAAAGGTGGGGGTAGGTGGGAAGTCGTATTCTGTATTCAGTCGAGTTTACTGTTGCTTTTCAGTATCCTTGTGCTGCCCACGTATTAATCCCCTCAGACAGCAGCCTACTAATACTGAAATGATAGTGAAAATTATAGCAACAAGAATAAAGAAATACGATGTAAACTTAGGGTCCTGCTAAGCCTATAATCGACAATTTTAAATCTAGAATATGTCTGGAAAGTTTAACTATACTACAACAGTAATGAAACTAGTGTCAAATACAGTCGAAAATATCGTCATTAAGTAACTGCTAAATTAAGGAGTTATGAGTAGACAAGTATTAAGACTTATCAGAAAAACAAGTGGTAAAAGGTAAATAATGGGTGAAGCAATCTCCGAGAAAAATGGCACCCTAGTTAGCTCTCAGAACAGATGATTTTCAGGTTGGAAGAACACTTTGAGGAGCAGTTTAACCGGACTACAGCCCCTCTCAACCTACTGAGCATCCAAAACCTCCCTGAATGGGAAATAAACACCAGTCCTTTGTCCTTAACTGAGGTTACGAACGCTGTCAATAGTCTGAAATGAGGCAGAGCAGCAGCACCTGATGGAAAGACTCCAGAGGTGTTTGAATACGGTGGAGACATTTTACTGTCTGCGTTAACTAAGGTATTAGGAAGTGTCTAAGAATCAGAGGGAGTCCCGTCTTGTCGGTGTAAGTCATTGGTTGTCCCGATATACAAGAAGCGAGACACGTCTTCCTGTGATAATCACAAGGGGATTAGCTTGACTAATATGGTATGTGAAGTTCTATGCTAAATAATAATTCGTAGACTAAACGGCTCTCGAGAAGAACAAACACGAGAGAACCAGACAGGCTTTATACCAGTAAGGGGGTGTATTAGTCATATCTTCACCCTTCGGCAGATTCTGGAACATATACATACTTACCGACGTCCAACAATTGCCATATTTCTTTACCTGAAAATGCATTAGACTCTGACAGGTACTATGGCGATGTTTTGCTGTGAAGTGGATGCCAAAGAAATACATCTCATTGATCAAGGCACTCTCCTTGAACTCATGCAGCCAAGTGAGAGTTTACAGCGAGTTGTCATCTGAAGTGGTGACAACCACTGGTGTCCATCACGGATGCCCACTATCACCACTTCTGTTTGATTTCATCATAGATGTACGCACTAATGGAATCAGTCTGCACTGACTTTAATGATTCACAGATTGACTTGTTACCGTCAGGTATTAATCTCGTTGATTTAGAGTATGGAGATGAAATAGTAGTCCTCCTAGGTGAAGACGCCGAGAGAATTCACGGTCTTCTGAACACATCGACGTGCAGCAATCTTTGAATTTTTGGCGTGCGAATTGCTCCTGTTAAATCTTAGTTGATGCTGTTGGACTGGACTATATTGACTCCTAACTAAGAGATAGGCAGGAGAGAATCGGTGGAGCGCGTTGACAGCTTCACTTATTTGGAAAGTTGCACCAACCAATTACAGCGGGTTGATTGCTGACGAAATCTCAGCACGGGTGCAGAAGGGTCGTGTGGAATTTGTCAATCTACACAATCTTCAGCGTAGACGTTGTATCTGGCTATCGACCAAAGGGCGTGTCTACCGCTCAGTAGTCCGCTCCATTCTCCTTTATGACTGAAAAAGGAAGACATGAAAAAGACAGTTAGCTGTCTTTGATCATGGGTGTCTGCGTTCTATCTTCCTTGTGAAATGGTATAATGGGATGAGCAAGATTGAGGTTAGGCTTCGATCGAGTGCTGGGTAGGTAAGGAGGGGAAATCAATCGACGAGGTTATGAAGTCCCACTAACTGAGGAGATGATTAAGACATGTGTTACGCATGCCTGTCTAGTCATCACCTTCCCCGACAATGGGTAACGTTAGCTGACTGACGTAGGATGGATCAGGTTGGAAAATAGTTAGCTAGTGATGGTCAAACCAAAACATGGTTTCATCAGTCAATGAAATCTACAACAGTTAGTTTAAGCTAGCCATGTGGTGAGGTGTAGACTTCGTGGTTAGGGTCATCGGGACTGTAAAAACCAATGAAGGCCAGAGACAACTGGTGATGGCTGGCGCAGATGCATTCACTCTTTGTGATTTATAATATCCGATAAAATTCTATTGTTCTCCCATATTATTATTTTTCCTCATATTTCTGTTTGTAATCTCTCTTTTGATTCTCTCTTTACTCTCTTTTATGCTTTGTATGCTACATAGAGTGTGGCAACTCGAACTACTGCAAAAGTGTGCAAAATTGTACGTTGAAACCAGTCAGGTAGATAGTTTACCTTCATCCCCACTGTTTTGACAGTGAGCGAAATTCTAGATTGTTATCAGAATCCGACTGAAATGACATCAATGACGGCTGAAAATAAAATTAAATTCATATAGTGACACAAGCTGACATATTTATGTTTCATCGATACAACTCAAGTGTGAAAATTAAAACATAGTGTTCAGCCGACTGATAGAAAAAATATTTTCAGCACTGGTTAAAAAGAGAAATCCAGCTGTTCATTGATGATTTCACTCGTTGATGTTTATTTGCCCCAATAGATCCTAATGTGAGAAACCAAAAACATGAGAAAGTGAAGTCAATGCACCTTGGAATCAACAGAAAATTGGGATACATGATCGGAGAGTGACAAGGTAGACTAAATGTATACTGGGAGAAGTAAGCATTTTGTCCTCATCTACCATACACTGTTTCACCATTTAGGATATTAACACATCGATTATATTAACATTGGAATTTCCTTATTTTAATATCCCAGGAAACAGATGTAGGCAAATGTTTAGGTCTATTTCATGATGGAAAGATGTGAAACTGACAAACGAATTCGCATCCTGGTGAATACACTTTTCGATTGAATAATAACACAGACTAGAGGTAGCTACTTCTCATTAGTCTATGCATGGCTTTTAAATTTTCATGGATTTAAGTCCACATTAATCTTGAGGTAAATAATTAAAATAAATACCTGTAATCGTTAGTATAAACAGTATAAAATAATTTGGTAGTCATATTTATTAGGATTTAGTTGTCGAATCATTGGGACATTTGAGACAGATTTAAGGAAGAGATTATGAGTATAAGCGGTATTGTGTATAATGAACCAACAGGTAATACTCATACCGTAGGTAGCTGATAGCTGTCAAAGACAAAATGACGGGCTTATTGTTCAGTAAGATATTGCAAACGACAAGTGCACTTTCAGACAAATCTTAAAGATCTATCAATGAAATTTTGATCGGAAACGACGTGAAAGAATGGTATTTTGGTAATCCATACCTTCTCAAATTAATGTATATTGTACATCATCTTTTCGCATTAGATCTGTTGACAAATACATAAATCAATGGAAGTTATCATATCTCTACTCAGGCGTATAGGAATGTTATTTCAAACAGATGATTCCTTATAATTTTCCCAGTGTATTAACTCGTAGGTTAAAATAAGAATTGCCCTACTCAGTAAATTTTACAAATTTTTTGTTAATAAGAATATAAAAGAAGAGGAACCCGAAATATATGGTGGTGAATGTAATATGTGAATAGCTTTCCATATGTGGTGAATTTTGGTGATGATATACTCCAACATCTGAGGAAGACAGTTATACTGAGGGTATAGCCTGTCCTCTTCAGAGTTAACCTGACCTCACCAAAACAAATAGTGGTGCATCACAGTTTTCTGAAGATTGTTCGCATTGTCTTTTTATATGAAACGAGCCAACTTAAGTAAAGCAAATAGTTTGAGCATGGTTTCTTTTCAAGTTTCTTTTATTTTTGTTAAGCATGTCATACAAGTATGGGAAAGATTGTTACGCAATTTTGTGCTATGCCAGGAAAAGCGATTACTAAATTTGACAACTGTACTAATGGAATAAGACCATTTGTAATAGACAGATTACCTGCAAAAATTCCTGCAGTCACATTGATTTTCCCTTCAATTAGAAGTAATGCTTTGCTTTGTTTCATATAATTCAAGCATTTTATAGGAAATCGTGCAGATAACCATCTGCACGACTTCAGTTTTGAAATCTGAATCTTTGAATGACACTCCGAAATCTACTTAAAACTTGTAATCAAAGCAGATCACGTATATTTATTTTACAAATGCTTTTAGAAACTAACTATGGGAAGTTACATCATACTCTATTGAAATTGAAAATTCACGGTACGTAGTAAATAGAAAAATATGTTAAATCAATAACTTTCACCATTATGGATTGATTCTCTTTGTTCACCTATTTTACTTAAGCATACAAAACATTTTTGTTTACTGGAGGTCAAAATAGCTAAAATATTATTATTTATCATTAAATATTCTTCAGTATAGTGGGAAAAAATAATTAAGGATTGCAATCGTGAGTGTTTTCGTTCAAACAAATAGACCAACTATATGATGCAGTTTTAAATAATGAAATAGAATTACAATAATTACAGTGGCAATAAAACCAGGGGGTAGTAAATTAACCCTATTGTTATAGAAGATAAGATTAATGATCTCTACAACGGTTTTCGAACAACATTTGACAATGTATGCAAATATTTTTAAACATTTGTTTTTGCTTTGTAGCTCTCATTTGATAAAATTCTTTATTCTCTTGTGAAACAAATAGGCAGAAAGAAATGGAGATGGATTGGCCATACTCTGAGGAAACCATCAAGTGACATCACTAGACAAGCCCTCGAGTGGAACCCGAAAGGGAGGCGGCGAGTTGGTCGTCCAAGGGTGACTTGGAGGAGGTCATGCGAGGAGGAGGTGAAAGCATGTGGACAGACCTGGAGCAGGTTGAAAAAGTTGTCAGAAAACCGAAGTCAATGGA